GACCGTCAAGAATGTGGGGCCTCTTCCTCGCATCGACGATCTTCTTGAGCGATTGGGCGGCGCGAAGTATTTTTCTAAGTTGGATTTGAAATCGGGATATCATCAAATCTCGATCTGACTAAACGATCGTAACAAATCCTCATTCAAGACGCGGTATGGGCATTTTGAGTGGGTGGTCATGCCTTTTGGCCTCACCAACGCACCGGCGACCTTTCAAGCGGCAATGACCAACGAGTTTCGTGCAATGTTGGACCGGTTAGTGCTAGTCTACTTAGACGATATTCTTGTCTATAGTCGGTCATTGGCGGATCATCTTGAGCACCTTCGGCGAATGTTGGAGACACTCCGCCGCCCCAAGTACAAGGCCAAACGTGACAAGTGCGAATTTGTCCGGCAAGAGTTGGAGTACTTGGGCCATTTCGTCACACCGGAGGGCATCAGTCCGCTATCGGACAGGATTCAAGCTTTCCAAGAGTGGCCGGAGCCACGGAACATCACAGATGTCTGTTCGATCCTTGGTCTCACCGGCTACTACCAGCGTTTTATCAAGGGCTACTCGAAGATCGCGGCCCACTTGACAAAGCTTCAATGCGAGGATCGGCCGTTTGACTTCGGAGAGGAGGCGCGGGAATCATTTTTGGGTCTCAAAGCCGCACTATTATCTGCGGAGGTCTTGCGCATATACGACCCGCTTTTGCCTACCCGCGTCACTACGGATGCGTCCGGTTATGGCATTGGTGCCGTCCTCGAGTAACACGATGGAGTGGACTGGCACCCGGTCAAGTATTTCAGCAAGAAAGTGCCCGTCGTGCACTCCATTGACGATGCACGCAAGAAGGAGCTCCTTGCCTTCGTCCACGCGCTCAAGCGGTGGCGACACTTCCTCCTTGGTCGAAGCCAATTCCGATGGGTAACGGACAACAATCCGTTGGTCTTTTACAAGACCCAAGACACCGTCAACAGCACCATCGCTCGATGGATGGCTTTCATCGACCAGTTCAACTTCTTTCTTGATCACATTCCGGGGAAGTCGAACCGTTTTGCGGATGCTCTTTCACGGCATCCGGATCATTGTACCACGGTCTATTCAACCTTCGAAATCGACAACGATCTGCGGGACAGCTTCAATCGTGGCTACCAAGCCGACCCCGAGTTTCGCGACAAGTACGCGAATTGCTCCTCTCCTAATCTGGCGCCTTCTCACTACCTAATCCAAGAGGGGTACTCGCTTATCCACACACGGGGGAAGGACCTTCTTTGCATACCGAGTGACCCTCACTTGCGTACACGGCTTCTTGGCGAGTTCCACAATGTTCCCGCCACCGGACACTTTTGAATCAATCGCACGCTTGGCCGACTTCGCAAGTGATTTCGGTGGTCCGGCCTTCTCAGCGACGTCACACGCTATTGCGAGTCATGCGAGGTTTGCCGATGCTGCAAATCCCACAACCATCATCCATACGGCAAGTTGCGACCATTATCGGTCCCCTTGCGGCGAAGGGAAGCGATTGCCATGGACATTATCGGCCCGTTCCCCAAGCACAAGACCAGCGTGGATGGGATTCTCACGGTGGTCGACCGACTCACCAAGTTCGCGATGTTTTTGCCTTGCCGCTATCATGCCAAGGCACCAGAGTTGGCCGAGGTTCTTTACGCCGGTTGGATTCGAACCAAGCGTTACCCCAAGGAAATCGTATGCGACCGCGACACTCAGTTCATGTCCGGTTTTTGGTTGGCGTTCATCAAACGATGGGGCTCATCTCTCAAGCCAAGTTCGGCTCACCACCCCCAAACCGATGGCCAAACGAAAAGGGCGCATCAAACCGCACAGGTTCTCCTTCGCACTCTCATCCGCCCAGACCACAAGGATTGGGTGGAGCGGCTGCCAGATGTCGAGTTGCCCTACAACTCGTCCATGCACCCGGCTATCGGGATGTCGCCCTTCCAATTCGAGCACGGCTCGCCGGTCACTTCGCCGTTGGACACAATCATTCCACGAACGGTCGAGAGCGAAGACCATCTTCTTTTCTTACGTCAGATGCAAGAGCTACATGTCAAGGCACGCGGCCAGATGGCCAAGACGCAGCAACGCATGAGCCAACAGGCAAATCGAGCGTCTTCCTTGCCCATCCTGCGCCGGCGATCTCGTTTGGGTTTCCGCCTCGGAATTCAGCCTTGAACAAGATATCTCTCGTAAGCTCCTCCCGAAATGGATGGGGCCCTGGCCGATCGTGGCACCCGCTGGGGATGCACCCGAGGGACCTTCCTTCACTATTCAGGTGCCCGGTCACTGGCCCGTCTACCCGGTCTTTCATTGCTCCAAGTTGGCTCTTTACACGCCAGCGGAACATGACGATTTTCCCAAGCGACGATCGCAAGACCCACCCTCTATGGACGGTTTTCAGGAGGTCGGCAACATCATCTCCCAGCGATGCTACGGCAACAGGCCAACCGAGTACTTGGTCCATTTTGCATACTGCACACACCGAGCTGAACGTTGATTGACCCGTGCGGAACTTCAAGCAACAGCTCCAAACGTTCTCGCACGCTACGAACGCAAGATGCAATGCAAGCCAGTCTCTTCGGCTCCACGCCGCACCCGCGTCCAGGTTCCACCTTCAGATCGCCAGCTTCGCCCTCGCTGCGGCTTGAATTCATAAGGAGCTGGGGGCGTTACATGCTGCGCCTGCACACAAGGGCCATTTTCCAGGCCCTGCGTCCCTCAGGCTGAAAGCCTGAAAACCAGGGCCTACAGGCCCCGTGTCTGTTCAACTCGAAAGCCTGAAAAACAGGGGCCTACAGACCCTGTGTCGTTTCAGACTAAAAACGGCAGTAGCCTTTTTAGCCTGAAACGAAGGGCCATTTTCGGTCTTTCATCAGACCGACCAGCCCTGAAACTCAGGCACCAAACCAGGGTTTTAGGAACAGGCTATTTTTGGCCTGTTCCCACGACAGCTGCAGCACCAGACCCTGGCTCAGTTTGGCATTGGCAAGAGCAGCCTCCTGGACTACCCGCCCTGCAACTGCAGGCAGTCGGAGACAGTCAGGAGGCAGGCCGAGGTAGTACATAGGGACTTCCCATGCACTTCACGGGTAGGAAGGAGGCAGTCAGTAGTCTTCAGGATTCGGCAGCAGCACTCTGGAGGTGCGCTGCAGGATGAGTAGTAGTAGCGTTAGCAGTAGTCTTCAGCGCTGGGCGCTAGTAGCGTTAGCTGTAGTCTTCAGCGCTGGGCGCCATAGCA